GCGGATGTCAGAGATAAGGTGCGTGGATGCTGGATTTGACTTGTGGATGGTACGCAGATTAAAGGATGTGAAGCGTAAGGTGTGCGGATGACTGGCGGAGGTTTGCGAATGGTATGCGGATGCTAGATTTGATTTGTGAATATCAGAGTCGAGGTATGCGGATGCTGTTTATGACTTGTGGATGGTACGAACGACTTGCGAATATCAAAGATAAGATATGCGGGTGCTATATTTGACTCGGAGATGCTATGCATGACTGGCGGTGGTATGCGGGTGGTAGACGGATGGTTTATTTTGCATGCATGGGCCAAGGTCAGGATCTTGTTTTGACTTGGCATTGCTTTGCTTTATTTTTGGTGATTTGTTTGCCATGGTGTCAGGCATATTGTCTTGATTTTTGCAGTTTTTGTAAGGACTGCATATGCTGGATTTGACTTGCGAATGTTGCGCAGATTGGAGGAATATATGTATCTGATCCTAACTGACTAACTGACAACAATCTGACAAGGGTGGGGGGGCGGGAATCGTATATATACTTTTTGATGTCAAAGGCAAGGTATGCGGATGCTAGATTTGGTTTGCGGATGGTTCGTATGACTGGCGTTGACTTGCGGATGGTATGCGGATGTCAGAGATAAGGTGTGCGGATGGTGCGTCTGACTGCAGTTGACTTGCAAATGTCAGAGAGAAAAGGTGTACGGATGGTTGATTTGACCTGCGGATGGTATGTCTGACTGGTGTTGATTCGCACATGGTATGTGAATGCTAGATTTGACTTATGAATGGTACGTATGACTTGCGAATGCTAGAATTGACTTATGGATGGTACGTATGACTTTGACATATCAAAGATAAGGTGTGCAGGTGCTATATTTGAGTTGCGGGTGCTTTATTTGCCCTGAGATTGATTTTCACTTGGACTGGGGATGGTCAGAATTTCAGAATTTGTTGACTTGAATTTTGTTTAGGATAGAGGGCGGATTTTTGTTGATTTATTATGTGTGGATGGTTTTGTATTGCTTGATTTTGACTATGATAGTGGCTGCTGCTGCGATGAATATGGTTGTGACTTGATTTGATTTTTCTTGATTTTTGTTATTTTGTTGGCAGGGTGGTACGAGATCGTAGTCTTTTCCTTGAATTTGTCTTGTCTTGCTGTCGTATTGCTTGTGGTACCAAGAACTAAGATAATGTGTTTCTGATCCTAAGCTGACGCCTAGCTCTAATGGGCGGGGGGGCGGGATTTTCTTGGTTTTGCTGTTTAATTGCTATCATAGTCTGGGGAGATGCATTGGTCGTGATCAGAATATTATGTATCATCTTGGTTTGATTTTTGTGCTATTGGACTTGTGGCGGAGGCGGTGTTTTTGATTTGATACATGTGTCTGGGATGATGCGTGAGATAAGGACATAAGCTTGTCTGGACTTGATGTAATCTTGCTGTGGTGCACGTAGCTTGATTTTGGGTGTTTGTGTTTGCTGCGATAGTCTTGGGCGTGTTTAAGAAATTTCATTTTGATTAGACTTTGTTTTGCTTGATTGTTGTCATTTTATTGCTGCGATGTTGCTTGACTTTGGCTGTTTGATTGTCTGTATAGATGCGTCTTTGAGGTTGAAATTTCATTTTGACTTGACTTGATTTTTGTGTTGTTGCTGCTGGGTTGTTGCTTTATGTTGGATGTGTTATTGCTATGGTAGTCTTGGCTGAGAACAAAAAATTGATTTGATTTTTGTTTATTGCGGGTGTTGTGGTGGTGCTTGTCTTGGGTGATGCGTTGATGGAGGTCATATTTGTGTGTTGACTTGATTGTTTTTTGCTGTATTTTTGTGATTTTTTGTGATTTGAATGCTGGGGGTGGAGCGAGATTGTGTTGGTATTGCAGAGATTTGTTGATTTTTATTGAATTTGAGTTGTGGTCCGATTGTAGTGTGATGTGACGGAGGGTGATTTTGATATGGGGCTGGGAACTGAGAGAATGCATTCCTGACCCTAAGCATTAACCGAGACACCGAAACCTGACTAACCGAGGCAGCTAACCTCGAAGCTAACATGGGCGGGGGGTGTGGGGGGACTTGAATTTATCCTGTTGATTATCTTTGGTATATTTGCATACAGATGCTATATCTCTGTAAAGGTTTTCTTGGATGCTTGATTTTATGCGCAGAAAGGTGAACGGATGATATGTATTATGTGCGGATGGTTGATTTGCGCAAAGATTAGGCATGCGGATGATGCATTGGCTCTGTTTGATGCTGCCTTTATTTTGCTTGGTTTGTGGGATTGCTGGGGTGCTGCTTGTCTTGCTTGTTGTGTTGGTCGAGGTCAAAATTCTGTTTTGACTTGACTTTGTTTTGCTTGATTTTTGGTTGTATCACTACCGTAAAGATCACTTGCGAATGTCAGAGACAAGGTGTGCGGATGCTAGATTTGATTTGCGGATGGTTCGCATGAATGGCGAATATCAGAGATGAGATATGCGGGTGCTATATTTGATTTGCGGATGGTTTGTATGACTGGCGTTGACTGGCGTTGACTTGCGGATGGTATGCGGATGTCAGAGATGAGGTGTGCGGATGGTACATATAACTGGCGTTGACTTGCGAATGTCAGAGATAAGGTGCGAGGATGCTAGATTTTATTTGCGAATGTCAGAGATAACCGGTGTTGACTTGGGGATGGTGCGCGGATGCTAGAATTTATTTGCAGATTTTATGTTGCTATTATGTTGCTTAATTTTGGACATGCGAGCTAAGGACAGGATCTCATTTTGATTTGGCATTGTTTTGCTTAATTTTGTTGCTACGATGTCAGGTATATTTCCTTGATTTTTGCTGTTTTTGAAGTTCCTTGTATACTGAATTTGACTTGCGAATGTTGCGCAGATTGGAGGAATATATGTATCTGATCCTAACTAACTAACTAAACATAAAACCGACAAGGGCGGGTGGGCGGGAATTGTATCTACACTTTTTGATGTCAAAGATAAGGTGCTCGGATGCTGGACTTGACTTGCGGGTATCAGAGATAAGGTGCGCGGTTGCTAGATTTGATTTGCGGATGGTATGTATGACTGGCGTTGACTTGCGGATGGTATGCGGATGTCAGAGATAAGGTGCGTGGATGCTGGATTTGACTTGTGGATGGTACGCAGATTAAAGGATGTGAAGCGTGGTGTCATAGTATGGACAGAAAATCCTATGCTTCCATAGACTGTTATTCCACTGAAATCGTGATTTTGCTTGTTACTAACACTTGGGCATTCAGATCATTATTTTCGCATTTCAGACAGACAGGGGTTATTTATCTACTTTTGGCACTCAAACATTAGTGATCAATAGGTGTTCATCCTTCAGTTCAGTAGTAGATTAGTTCACTCTTAAATCTTGTCTGACAAGGTGCAGTGATGATATGAAATTCTAGCATTCATGCAAATCCTGTGGAACATTCCATGTATTAAGTGATACTAGCTAATTTACATAGTATGCGTTAGTTAATGTTGATGAACGTAGATGGTACAATGATAATATCAGCGTTGTAGTCCGTCCCTATAAAATCAGTACTTCACCGTACGTTAGACTTTCTTCTCTTCCACCACACACCGACGAAAGCTCGACCCTATAAAATCAGTGCTTCGCCGTAAGTCACTCTTTCTTCTCTTCCACCACACACCGACGAAAGCTCGACCCTATAAAATCAGTGCTTCACCGTAAGTCACTCTTTCTTCTTTTCCATCACACACTAACGAAAGATAAAAGGTCAACACAACATTTTATACATTCTCTCCTCTCATCTACCACCAACGCGTTAGGAGATGGCTCAGGTAAGTACTAACCGTAGTCTAGTGGCATTACTAACGATGTCTCCTACCCAGCAACAAGGATATCAGCCAAACTACGTTAATAACGACCACGCGGCGCCCCAACACTACCAAGCGCTGCCGCAATACAATTACGCTAACCAAGCGCACAATGCCGTGCCGCCGAATCAAGTGAGTGCCCTGTCTGCGTATGCAGGACCCCTCACATGTTCGGCCAGGCGCAGGCGCAGGTACAAGGCCAAGCGCAGGTGCAAGGCCAAGCGCAGGTTCAAGGTCAAGCGCAGGTGCAGGCGCAGGCACAAGATGACCCTGAGGAGCGCGTCTTCGTGGTGACGGAGGAGGTGGAGGTGAGTGTTTCCCGCTAGTGCACTCCGAGTCTCACGGAAATCTAGCGTTTATGGGCTCGGGGCCTAGCAACGGCTCGCGAGAACATCCGTAGAGCCGATGAAGGGCTAGGCAGCGTGCGTCACCCAGCGCACGGAGAGATGACGCGCTACATGCTAGGGTTACTCTTAGAGTTCAGGCGCGCAGAGCTGAGGAGGGAATTAAACGAGTTGGCCGAGGCAGAGTACGTGCTGGCGTTGAGAAATCTTGGGGGATAGTTAGTGAAGGACATCGCAAGGCGTTAGGGTCAGGCGGCTGGTAATAGGACTTACTCTAATCATAAATCCCCACTCATACCATAGTTAATATATCCACGAGCGCCAGCTAGGAGGTTTCATCTGTAAAAGTAGATATGTCAGGATTGGTTTTGTTGATAACAGGTTCTGAATAATCGCCATCTTCCTCCCAGGGCGCGAATTTGAGATTGTGTGGTAAGCGGTGTTACCTGTACGGTTGGGTACACCTTTTCCCCCTCTACATCTGTAGAGGGTCGTCAGAGGCCATTCCCTTTGTGGGTAGCAAAGTATACGTCAGTTAACCTTGCATTGGGATAAAAAGATCGAAACGTACATGCGCATCATTGCCTGTGTTTTGCAGGAATGAAGTGAGGATTTGCAGATGCCTGCATACTCGCTCTAGCGAACGTCTGTTGTGCCCACCTTCGCTTTACCTTCCACTGCAGCAATGTATCTAATACAAAGACGCTACTGTCAGGCTTGGCATCTATGCTGATCTCAATTGCATTGAGTAAAAAGGAGCAAGGGAAATGTAACTAGTTTTGAGACAGGAACGTACTAGTTAGCCTATTACAATGGTATCTATAGCCTCATCGACAGCCTGCAAGTCAACGCGCGCCCAACGATTATCCAACTTTTTCAAATCCCTTGCAATGTCCGCGGCTCTAACCCTGGTGCTCTTTCCTCGAACGCCTCTTGCAGACATGATATCTCGCACAGGCTGGGCGAGGAGTGTGGCAGTAACGGGAACGTAGGCCTCTTCTTCCTCAAGCGGCGGCGGGTCTGATAGATAAGCCTCATCATCAGAAATGAGGCACTTTGATGAGTTAGCGTCAGGACATGAAAAAAATGCGCTCGAGAGCTGAGCATTTAACAAAATTAAAGAGTTCGTGGTGTTTGTTGCGACGGGGTCGAAGGGCGGCGCAGACGTAGACACAGTCAGCGGGATCAAAAGTCTATCGTATAGGACGATACTCCCTTCTTCGTAAAGCCGGAGGAGCGCCCACATGAAAAGGCGTTTCATCCTGACCCGCGGGTGGTTGGGGCCAAAACGGGAG